AGTAACTTATTGGCGCTTAGCTAAAACGTAATCGAGTAATACAAGATGTTAGAAGTACTTTAAAATTATATAAAAAAAAATTTTTAATAATTGTGTAACGTTAAACGAAGATCTACATAAGGGGCGCTGTCACTGCTGAACGTCAGGCCACGTTTCCGGTCTCACAACGTAAAGCGTTACCCTGAAAATTTTTTGACATTAACTTGAACGCTACATCTAGAGAAGTTATTGTTAAAAGGTGAAGCCGTTATGTATGAGCAGGATTGGTAACGGAGTTCGTTTTCCAGATTTCAATTGACTAGTTAAGAAATACATTCAGAATTACTAAAATTAGACTAGGACAACCTGACAGTCATAACGATAGAACATAATGGGTATCCCCTAATACAAATATGGCCAATGAAAGGTTATTAAACAATACTGTACATAAATAATGGGGGGAAAGGCTTATTCGTTCAAGACACTCGTGACGTGGAGTAGTTAGAGTCGCATTTACTAATTTCCCCAGGTTTCTGATTGGCTGGGATTATTCGTGCCAATTTACATGTCACCTTCCTATTAAAATGTGGCATCTCAGTTAGGGTTTGGGTTAGGGTTAGTGGGCGATTTACTTGATATGGATAAACGAACAACGAATAGAATTTTACACACTATCACTGTATGATTGGGCTGGTTTCGTCAATAGCACCGAAATTATTTCACCATTTAATTTTATTGCACCGGCACATCGGTTCAAAAAATTTGCTGAGTTTATAGATTCTAGTTTATGAAAATTCTAAAACATTAGTACATGACTTGTAACTAACAGATAATAGTATACTTTACTAGGCTTCTCGCCGGAGGTGTGATTATAATTAATGGGAGTTATCATGTGTTTGGGTTTAGTCAGCTACAATGTTTAGTCGACTTATTGGTAGAATAAAAATATTACGTGGTTAAATTAGATAAATTTTTTAGTCGACTAAACAAATTTCAATCCCTACTTCGGCCGAAAAGCTCCGTGCGCCATCCGAGCCTTTTTGATTTTCGGAAATGATAATTTTAGCCTGTGTCAAGTTTTGTTTGGAAATTTAAATGAATACGTAGTATTGACTGTATGCTCATCAAATCTATTTTTCCTTTGGATTTAATGTAAAATGTGAGTCAGCATTGGATTGGTTATAATTTACATTAAAATTAGTTTCCAAGTTCTGCTGCCACATTACCCGTTATGTAATGATTAACAATACTAATGCTGCAACACCAAAATTTTAATGCCGGCATTGCAGCAATACAATGCGCTACGCCGCAATACAATCAAAGCTAAAATTACCTATTCAAATTTCTGGCCTTCAAAAAAGTATCATTTTTGATTTGTATTATATTTATGTATCAAAAATGTTTCAACTGCAATCATCTGGCGCAGAATTTGGATAGTGGTTTTAGCCTCGAATATTAATTTTGACGTCAATTATAGGATTGGTGACACATAAGGAGCTATTTATTCCACATGATAAACTCGAGGTACAAATATATTTACGTAATAATATCGTAACCTAATTTACCTAAATATAAAAAATTTGTCAAACCGGTTTTTAAAATAACTAGTGTTGTAGTGACGACAACATATTTTATATTACGTAATAGGTTAAGATAGTCATCCACAAAAAACTATATAAAGTTTTAACAGTCGTGCTCACATACAATATACAATATCCTAAGAAAATATAGACGCACCTTGTATTTTGATCAAGGCTTAATATAACATGTCAAAAGAAAAGATTATTCTAAATATCGGAGGGAAGAAGGTATTAAAGTTCAATAATAAATTTTTAAGTACTTTATATGGTTATATATATATAAATATATATTTTTCTTTTAAACATACAGTATGAGACTCTTCGATCAACTTTCACTGCTCAACCGAAAACTTTGCTCGGAAAAATATTTCAAAATAAAAATGAGTATATGAAATATTTGATTAATGAAAATGAATACTTTTTTGATCGTAATGGTGAAATGTTTTATTATATATTGGAATTCTTTCGAACTGGAAAACTTTTATGCCCTAATGGATCTTATAAAAAACTTGAAGAGGAACTTGACTATTTTCAAATTCCTTTTAATAAATCGGAGCTGGCTTCAGAAGTTGCTACAAATACGGTTGATAGATTCATTTCGTTCCTAGAAAAATTAATTATTATTCATTGTGAAAATTTCCTTGAAAAAATTATTTTAAAAGTTGGAGAGTCGAACATTTCTATAAGTAATCAACGGTTTCAACCATTATTTTCAAATGATCGCTACTTTCCTTTTGAAAAATATGCTTTTAATATCCTGAATAAGATAGAAAAACTGATTGGTGAACATTTAGTTAAAACTTTTTCCGAATTAGAGTTAAAGTGGAACTGTGTGCGAAATAACAATCTTCCATCATTTACTTTTGATATCATTATATCTTTTTCGATTAAAAAACTCTTTCAACTCAAAATTACACAAACATACATCACACCTCACCCACCTTTAGATAGCATTTTAGAGGAAAAGATTATTTTAAATGTTGGAGGCAAAAAGGTATAAAATAATAATAATAAATCTTTATGTTCGTTTTTACTTATTTAAATACTTACATCTTTAATTCTATACACAGTACGAAACTCTTCGATCAATTCTCACTGCTCAACCAGAGACTCTACTTGGAGTAATGTTTCAAGATCGAAATAAATGCTTGAGTCATCCAATTAATGGAAATGAATATTTCATTGATCGTAATAGTGAAATATTTGACTATATAATTGAATATTATCGAACTGGAAAAATTTTATGGCCTATTGAATTTGAAAAATCATCAAAAATTACTTCTAAACAACTTGAAGAAGAACTTGACTATTTTCAAATTCCTTTTAATAGATCAACTATATTTTGTTCATTGGCTTTAGAAAGTTCTATAAGCACTTTTAAACGACTTATTGTGGCTTTTGAAGAATTGGTTATTCATTGCTGTGAAAATTTTAGGAACAAAATTTCGGTATATATTAGACCTGGAAAGATTAATGTAGATAATAATAAAGAATCTTCATTTTTAATTAATTCTTTTAAAATGAATGCTTTTACTATCTTAACTAAGACAGAAAAGCAAATTGGTGATCATTTATCAAAGACTTTTTGTAAATTAAAGCTGAAATGGAAATGTGAACTTCGAAAAGATTTATCTAATAACGATTATTCACATGGAAAAAATAAAAGTCGTTATTTATATATTTGTATTTCTTTTTCAATTGAAAAAGGTTTAAAATTTTAAATATAAGTTTAGAATATATGTTTCTTTCTCCCCTTTGCATGCTAAATATAATTACTTAGATATTTCTTAAGCATTAATTTGTTTTCAATGTTTAATCATATTTTTTTAGCAAGTAGTTTTTTTTTTTTAGATTAATATTGTAAATAAAGTAAAATTTATTGCTAGATTCATTTCATTTATAAAGATTGTTTATTCGTTATGTCCGTAAATACAAACTTTCATTGTAAGATGTGAAAATTTAACTACTAATAAAAATAGCTGTGCGGCAAAACATACTCTACGCCTACTTTTTTGAAACCATCCTAGCATCGCCCAAAAATCAGTTAATTCCGGCAACTTAATGTACTGTACAATAATTTAAATAATACAAAATTACAGAATTATCTGTCATACAAAAATGAATTATCGGGAAATTTAATTTACGTAACTGATTTTTGGGCGCTGCTAGGTTCGTCACTTCTTTGATACACCCAGATGTATTCAAAAAAAACTTTATACTTTTTTGAAACTGATATCACTTGTAGATTTCTATTTAAAAAAAATGATTCTTAGATAATTTTTTAGCTTACACGATTCGCAAAATTTGCAATTTCTTTAACATATTTAAAACTTTTCAATTTTTGATTTGGTCACGCGAGTTTTTATAAGATTATACAACAAACTTTTGCCTCAATAAAATTTTTTTTGAAAGATATTCGTATGTTAAGTTTTCTTTCAAAAAACAATATATATATATTTTACACGCGGCGATTTTTTTAAAAGATAATTTAAATAAAATCTTTTTAAAGAAAACTCAATCCGTTGTGAAGGGCAAAATCGACCCCAAATTCTATTTTTATCTTTATTTCTTATTTTGTGAATATAAGTAGTACAAATTCTTGTGATTCCCGGTAAATTCTTGATATCTGAAGAATGACGGGAATAAAAATTATTCAAAGAATAATTTAGATAGCTGGAATAGTTTAGATTCAAAGAATAATTTAGACAACAAATTACATTATATGTATCAATAATTATATAAAGGAAGAGTTTCTCTCCTTTAATAAAGATAACTGAGAGTTGGCACAACTCAGTAAAGTTCGACTCAATTAAGAGCCTATTATCCCAACTTCAGAGTTTGAGCTCTAATTACTCCGATAAGCCAGTAGTCTAAACCCGTGATCCGAATAAGACGTAATCTAGAGCTCTATTTGACCCTAATAACTTGAACCAAGTCTTTCCACGCCTCTTTCGTGTCCTGTCACTATTAGAGTCAGTGTTTCGGCCTAAACCGAAACCTTCGGCTAGGCGAAACCTCTGAAACTCCGAAACCTAGTTTCGCCAGAAGCCCCAAATCCGAAAGCTCCGAAACTGGGCGAAACCTCCAAAATTGGCAAAACTTTCGAAACTGGCGAAACCTCCGTAACTTCTGAAACAAAGCTAATAGTAATAAAATCACGAGAATCACCAGAACCGAGCATAAAATTACATCGGAAACTGGCGAAACTTCCGAAACTGGGGCGAAACCTCGGAGGTTTCGGCCATTTCGGAGGTTTCGGATTTTGGGCGATGCCAATACTCCAGGGCCAAAACGTTTCGGACTTTGGGGAGGTTTAGGCCGAATCACTGATTAGAGTTCGATAGAGTTTAGTAGTTTAGTGTGTTGTTTTAGATTAGTTTAGTGCCGATTGATATCGTTGAGACCCATTCTTTGTGATTCCGGATTAATTTTCACTCACAATTTGGTGGTAACTGTGAGATTAAACTTTCCTAGTCGCCTAGATTGTGTGATTGAACTACCAAAATTCCGACGTCTAAAGAGTGAATTCGAAGCAAAAAAAGTGTCTTTTTAATTTGTTTTTGTAGAAATGGAAGTGAACCTGCCTATAAGTCGTAACGATAGAGCCTGGTGAAGTGAAAAAAAAAAATACCGAAAGAACGAAAGCTACAGATGATGGGAAAAAAAAATCGACAACCAGGCTGCCCCAACTATGAAGTGAAGGTGAAGATGGTCTAATTATAATTGTACTCCTGCTCCTCCTCCAAGTCCTAAGTTTTTCCCCTCAACGTAACCCGCCAAAAAGTTTTTTATGATTTTATGCGTGGTACGCATAAACTAAGTGCGGGTGAATGTGAAAGGGTAACGTGACCCGGCCGCAGAGAAAACGCATACGTATGGCTCTGGCTCGGGACCTGAAATGCGCATTGATCAACAAAAGCAAAGGAATTTATTAAATGCCAATTCGGTTTTGGCTTAAGCATTGAAAAACAATAGTAAGACGCCTCTGATATTCAATGGTGGGAACTAAAGTCATAGTCATAAAATGAGTACTCAACGTTAGTCATAGATTCCCCGATACTTTAAACAGTCATATTGGTTAGAGATTCTAATCGTTGTAACAAAGCCCCAAGGTTATCTGCAATTAATAAATAACCATTGATTTCATATATCTGAAAAGGAGTGAAGTATTATAATAATAAAGACCATCTAATGATAGCCCCAAGGATTCTAGTGGCAGTAGGATCCTTGGTTTTCGGACCTCACGCCCTCTTTCGAGTAGCCTTGTCTTTTTGGTTGTGTTTTAGCTATGAATTATAGTCACCCCAGATTCGCCCTTTTACACCATGCAATAAATAGTTTAAATAAATAATTTATGAAATAATATTTTTAAAAACATTGTTCATGTAACGAAGTTGTTTATTTTTTTAAAAAAAATACATATCGTTTGTTTAGTATTCACACAACTTAAGTTTTTAAAAAGGTTTTAGCTTAACTGATTGGCTTGTAATATCTTAGCCGTATCGCTATAAAGAATTTTATCATTTAAAAATTTTTGTAATTTATTAAAGGTGGTTTTTTTGAATAACAAATTCACGTTGGGCGAATTTTTGATAGTGATGCTTGAGTATCAAAGAAGTAAAAATTTTTAGGGTACATATGGGTATATCAAAAAGTAGACGCATGAATATCAAAAATGTATGTTTTACAGTCGTGCGACATATGCATATGAGCCGTGCAGGATTAGTACGATCACGCGTAATGAGTAAAATCAAGCTATGTTCAGATATGTCATACTAGTGGCTGAGGGCCAGGGGGATCCGATCAACTCACTGAGAATAACTTCGCAGACACCACATTTCACTGACAATTACAGACAAGCTTATTTCACTGACAGTTTATTTCACCAAAGCTAATTTTACAGACAAGTAATTCTGGTCAATATCATTAAGGTCTGATTAGAATAGAGTTAAAGTAGTGTAATTTATAAAAAAAAACTTGTCGATTATATGAGCTTCGGCGAAATAGAATGTCGGTAAAATGAACTTGTCGGTGAAAGGTGGTGTCTATGAAGTGATTTTCGGTGAAATAATAAGTTTCAAGATGAATAATTAATGCTTTTTATTGATTTTGTCAAAAATTTATAATATGAAATGTAATTTAAATTAAATTAGTGCAATTATTAAGAAAAAAAAATAACTTGTCATTATTTTCTTAATTGAAATAATAACTTATCTAATTAGTTTATTTAATTGTCAATTAGTCTTTAGTCTGGTCAATAAAATTTTTAAGGTGGCATACTCAACTTTCACCAGGTTACATTTTGAAAATTGCTCCTTTTCCGGAATAAATTATATATAAAGTCTTAGTTATTGCTATAAAAATCCTGGAGTTTTCAAATACAAATTATATAATACTCATGTTCTAATACAGTAATAATTGCATATAATTATTTAATAAATTTTATTTGTATCTATACATTACCTGAATTTTTACAGAATGCTAGAACTTTATATATACTCTATTCTGGAAATATGAGCATTTACCAGAAAGATAACTTGTGAAAGTCGTGATATGTTTTTTTTTTAAAGTTTTTATAAAAATATTGAGCAAACTGCTTATAATCTCTTTATAAAAAGCAACTACTGATCAAATCTCCAAAAAGAAATTAGAAAGAAAAATCTTTTGAAAGTATTACTGAAAATATTAGTCTTAATCTATCTTGATATAACATACAAGATAGTATGAAACGATATATTAACACTTGCAATTAATTTAATACGAGTAAGAAATTGCTTAATTCAAATACAAAGCGATCTTACTGATTATCATACTTTTAGTTCATATAATTCTATCGTCATACACTCACTTAAATTATGCTTTTGAGTATTTTTGTCAAGACTGATCAAAATGATAACACAGGATTATATAGTTGTATTGTTGGAGTTATGCACATGCTTTATATCATACCACTTAGAATTTTATAAAAAACAGTATAAAAAAGTTGAATGGAATCTTCTCATATTTCATATTTCATTCCATGTAATTGTACTAGTATAGTTTTCCCACCACAGGCACGCCGATCATGATATATTATCGCTCTTTTCAATTTACTGTGATCATAAAATGATCGACGATCACATGGAAATCTTCAAAATTCCCAAAT